GGACAAGTTCCTTGTTACCCAGGACGGAGAAGGAAGGGGAGCCCAGCATCAGGAGTGCCAGCTAGCTAAGGTGCTTTAGCTAAATCAGTCTCGCTAAAGCATCTTACAGGGGGGTTTAGTGAAGGGCCCCTCAGCTAAAGAGCTTTAGCTAGATCAGCCCAGCTAAAGCACTTTGCCTAAATCACCCCATTTAGCCCCTTGCTCCAGCTTTCTTTGCCCTTCAGAGGATCAGGAGGCCAGCCCAGATGTAGCAAAAGCCCTCCCGAGGAAGGAAGGAGGAGCTCCACCTGTGCCATGTGTGCACCCAGGGACTCCCCTCTTGCAGAGAGAATGGCATTTTCAAGGGCATATTTTTCAAGTGTGAGATTCTTGATGCATCTTTTTTTCCTGTGACTCTCTCATATTTTTGAAACCATAGTGTAGGGGTATCAAACTTTCCTGGAGGATTTTAGTCTCCGAGGAATGGGATCTATTGCAGTTCCCCTGACTTGTAAAGAATAGGAAATACCTGCTGCTGCTGTTGAAGCTGGCAGTTACATCGCTGCTTACCAGTGATGCTCTTGACTCTCTTCACTGTTTACTGTTCCCTCTTGGACCAAGAAAGTCCCTAGGGAACTCCAGGATGGCGGCAGGGACATCTTTCTGGAGTCTCTGTGCCACATCTCCCCTGCATTAGCAAATTTCTCATGGCCTAAATGGCACGTGCAGCTCTCCTCTGGCATCTTATGGTAGAGAGATTTTTGTTAGCTAAGGCTGGGTGCACTGGGGAAAAGGGAGGCTTCGTGGGAGGAAGCTGGGGCTTTGCTTCCCTGTTCTTGCAAGCTGCTGCTCTGCAGTAGAGGGGGAGGCTGGAAACACAGGCAGCTGAGCTGTAACTTGGGAAACCTGAGAGCTGGAAGCAGCTCTGTTGCCTTCTTTAGTTCAACTCTGTTTTGTCTTTGCCTTGCTCTATTATTTACAGTTACGTATTTTCTTATTTCAGTCAAAAACAAAACCCAAGAGGGTAAAAGCAATTTACAACTGCGTAGCTGATAACCCAGATGAGCTAACGTTTTCAGAGGGAGATATCATTGTGGTTGATGGGGAAGAAGATCAGGAGTGGTGGGTGAGTACCTTGCCTTTTCCATCAACGTAGTTTGAAAGAAATACATTAAATCTAGAGGTGGACCCTGACTTCACGAGTTCTTTGGATTTTCAAATAAGAGAATTAAGTTTCATCTTACAGAAATCCTATTCTTGAGATTTTTTCTTTTTTTTAAATAGGTCAATTTTTAGCTTTCCTTATTCAGAAAAGCAGTCTGGCTGGTGGGGTTCACAGGACACAGGGGATATTGTCTGTGTGAATTAGGAAGGTCTTGGAGGGGGGTGTCGGTGGGTAAAGAAGCTGCTTCGAAGATGTGTGAGGCCCTCAGGACAGCTTCGTATTGTCCTGCTTTTTAGCTGACCAACATTGAGAAATGGTCTGTTCAGCTGGGGAACTATCTCAACTATTTAACACTCCAGAGTCTCATTCATTAAAGCCAAGTCTTGGAAAATTATGAAGGCAAACACTTGACTTTGCTGGCTAGCAAGGAGTAGAGCTCCAAGTTGCATCTGAAATTACAATAATGTTATGTAAACCCCAAATGATTCCTGTAAATTCCCCACCTCTTCATTTCTATTGAAGCTCGATCCATCCTTTCACCTTTCAGTACTTGCAGAGAGGGGGGAGGCAGTTTAGCACAGGCAGAGCAGGAGCTGCCAGGCAGTCCCTGTGTGCCGAAATGGAGCCGCTTACTGCAGTAAGAGCTGTGACTTTCAAAGAGCTAGATAAGGAAGACCCTGAAAAATGTTTAGAGCTGAATAGCAAGTGCTGGTAATGTTCAAAATAAAGAGCACCTCTGCAGATAGATGGGGAGCCTTGTTGTAGTATCCGGGCAGGAAGGTGCCTGGGGTTCATCTTGGTGCTGTTGTAGTTGCCTTCTTGAGACTAACTTGCAAAAATGCAATGACTCTTTCAGATTGGTCACATCGACGGGGATCCCAGTCGGAAAGGAGCTTTCCCGGTATCATTTGTGCACTTTATTGTTGACTAAATTGCTACTGATGAATGGAAACATTTCTCATATCCAGCGGTCACAGAAACACGTTTTCCTCTTTCATTTCATCTCCCTATCTGCAAATATCTTGCCAGAGCACTGCCCAAGTTCTAGGTACTGTAGCTAACTTTTTTATTACCATCACTCTGATTTTGGGACTTTTAAAACTTTTTTCTATGTGAAAACTTCTCATGAGCGGTTTACACTTTAAACTTTCTTCCTGTATTTTTTTCAAGGTGAACTGAAAAGCTTTAACAATGAAAACCCATATAAGTGTGTGAACATCAGAATATTTTGAATCTTTTTTTAGCGGATTCACTGTAATTTTCTTCTGCCTTTTGTAACATGACAATCTCAACAGTTCAGTGAATCTTATAGTTCAGTGTTGCTTCCCCAGTCTCTCTGTAGCCGGGCAGTAATTTTATCCATTTCTCAGCACCCTTTAAGTGTTGGAACCAAAACTTGCAAGCTGCTGAGTAGTTCAAAATGGGACTAAGTCAGCATCTTGTCACACTGGCTCTCATCCAGGATGTCAGCAGAAGAAATTATTTTACCTGTTTGGCCAGATAAAGTATTTCAGTTTATCACAGAAGAAACTTCTTTTTTTTCAGAATGGATGTAGATATTTGCTTCAAGTTATCTAAAATCTATGTTAGTTGTTGAACTTTCTAGTTCTAATTTTGTGAGCTTGAGACTGTTTCATTTTCTATGCTGCACGTGTGTGTAACCTGTTTTTAAAATGTTCCTTTATATGTGTTACGTCCATTTTAGTCATTTAATGTGACTACTGCTAGTTAACTCCACTATGGCAATATTACTGAGTTACCAAATTAACTCAAGGATATAAAAACTGCACATCCTGAAATGTACTCAGCTATGATGATGGATTGCAGAACATTTCCTACCATTGTAACATTACAATGTTTAGAATCTTTTTAAAAATTCTTCCATTTTCTTAATCATCCAGCAACGTATCACCCAGCAAACATGTTTGGTAGAACAGGTGGAGAGTTACCCTTGGTCAGGAGGGTATCTACCACCTCACACCTACACTACGTTATGTTCTGTTTTATAAATTTGTGTGCCACTACCTTGCAAACAGTGCTAGTTTGCTCATCACTCTGTATTTATATAATATACCCACATATATGGTAGCTACACTGTCATTGAATTTGTTTTACTAATTGGTGAGCAAAGGGTCGGCCAACAACTCTTCCCAGTTGGTTGATGAAACACGGAACATCCACGGAAACCTGATGTCACTTTGTATATTGTGAGATTGCTGATGTTAGAGGAAACAAGTGATGGCTTAGGGTAAGAAAAAATCAATGTCTAGGTCACATTGGCTTTGATCACATTGTGTGAATAGTTTTACCTCTAGATTTGTCAAGAGAACTTTGAATTTCTGACAAATGGGGTTTAAAGGGGCCACCTTATGCATAACAGAATGGAGGAGAGGCCACCATGAGCGTGTTTGGAGAACCCCATGGTGGTAATGCTGGAAGAGCAGCCCTGACCCTCCAGGACCTTTCTGAAATGGTACAGCTGGGCCCAGCCAGGTCTCTGCTCAGCTTTCATTTGCCATGTGCTCTTGCTGCAGTATAAATGGGGAACAAACTGGAACGTTTCAAGATATTTTTGTTGTAAGTCAAAGCAAAATAGTCTGTATTTTCAAAGTTCCCAGTAAAATAATAGAGGAATAGTTTAGCACTACAGTTTTATTCATGTACTGGTATGTTCAGTTTGCAACACTATTTTGTATGTTTCTATCCCTGATAGAGTCTAGAGAGTAAATGGGCATATTATTTTGCACAGATCTCCTAATGTACAGTATTTTTAACACAGAATCTTATAGTGTATGTAACAACTTGTCAAGTTAAAGGATGATGCAGATTTGATTTCAGTTCTGCTAGAAGATGTTGGGACACTTGCAAGTGTCACAGCCCTGGTCACTGTCACTCCACCTAGGAAACTTGTAGAATTCCAAGACAGTAGCACTAGCGAGGCAGGTAGGTAAAATCTTAGGGACCAATACCAACCAGCTACACAAAACTTTTCCCTAGGTTTTCAATGCTGTTTTTTTCAAGATTTGCTCCTCTGGCAGAAGAAATAAATTCTAGCACCTGTAGATATCTATTTATAATATAAAATGAAGAATTTTAAGTCCTAAATTTTGGCATATTTCATACAACTTTTCAAAACTGACTGAATCATGATTCAAACAACCCTGTTAAGAGACAGACTATTAGGTTGCTGTGTTAACTGTTTAAAAAGGAGCAGATGACATTTAAGAATGCAGCTTAGGATGCTATGAGATGTATAATATTCAATTCAGTTGTTTTTATTTTGTTTAGTTGCAGAGCAACTGTATATATTGTATAACCTAAAATCAACTCTTATTTTCAATGTCCTGGATGCAGTGATTTATAATTAGAGCATGATTAATAAATTTTACTCTTGCTGACCAGTCAAATGGCTGGAAAAATAAAACTACTTTTAAAATCATTTTGGCTCTTTCTCTAACTTTAGATGGTGCCAGTGAAGGTGTTCTTTCCAGGGTATAAAGTGATGAACACAACCAAGCAGCACCACTACTCACCTTGGAGGATCTGAGCTGAATACAGAAATTCTGTGTAGAGAGCAGCACCCCTAAGGTTAAATTAAGGTGTAAAGGTTCAACTCACTACCTGTTAAGACGTGGCTTGGAACTGAAATCTCCACCAACAAATTATTTTACAGACAGAGTTAGAAGCAAGTGTCAGTTTTATTTTACATTTCTACAATATTGACATTAATATACAAAATAATGACTTAGGAAAAAACATCCCTGTTAAATACAAAACTCCACCCTGTCCTGGAAGGTGGAGGTGGAGCGATGATTTCTTCACTTAATGTTTGGGGAGGACAAGGTACCGTCAGCAGGAGGCCCCTTCCCTCCTCACACTGAGGCTGCGGGGGCTGCAGGCAGAGGCTGCTGCAGCACATCAGGACTTCTCCAGCATCAAAACTGAATCAAAGGCTGTGGATAACACTTTGCAAATAGCTTGTGCCTGTTCCTGCATCAAATAAACAGTAACACACACATTAGCACTTTCTGAAGAACTCCTCCATTTCTCAAAACTCATTTAAAGCAAAACAGGACCTTTATGGTTCTTTGGGCAGTGGAATAGCATGGAATAGCACAAGTGAGATTTAATTGTAATTCTGTGCTCTGCAATGACATGTTGGAAGCTGTTTTAAAGGAGCCCTTTTGAAACAGGCTGGAGTTATTAGTGTTCATCAGAGCACGTTGCTGCTTCAGAAGGTCAGGTTATGTGTTTCCTGGGGCTGCTAAGTGTGTCCGTCCTAGCATAGGATCGTGCCAGTAATTCTCCTGCTTTAAGAGATCAATTTCCTGGCTTACAAAAACTCCAGTAATAGAGGACACATTCACTAATGACTCAATCCCTCCCTGCTCTGTTCTCTCTTAACGTGTTTTTGTCTTGGAAAACACAAAGGGAGGATTGTCCTTGGCTGACTTCACAGTCCAGAAAGCTCTCTCAGGCCTGTTGTTGCTCCTTAGTAACCACCTGATCCCCATTCTGCAAAAGGCAGCATAAAAACCAAGGGCCTTATAACCTCTTGTTAAGATCGAAGTATTAGTATTTAATGCAGCTACCATGGACCTGAACTCTTACCAGGCTGCTGCACTGGTAGACCCAGAGGCTGCACTCTTCGGAGGCCGCATCTGTTGTCTTGAGGGCGAGCAGGCTCTTGCCGGCGCCCAGCCCGTCGTCGTAGCAGACCATGCGCACGATGAGGTAGAGCGCGTGGCGGTGCAGCACGTCCTGCAGCCGGGGAAAGCAACGTTACTCTGCGGCCGCGCGGCGCCTGCTCACGCTCCTGCGTGCAGCCAGGCCGGGCTCTTGCAAAAGGAGACTGCAGGTTTCTACAGGAAAAAATGTCATCTTTGCTAAAATTAAAAAATCCTGAACTCCCAATTAAGTAGTATTTTTCAAAAGGGTGGCTTAATTGTAATTTTAGCTTTAATTTTTAAAGTTCAAAGGCTGACTATATACCAAAGGACACACTGAGTTTCCCACCTACTCCTCCTCACCATCTGTGCTTAACCTGCCTGATGCCATCTGCTTTCCGAGGAAGCGCCTCGCTCCTTGCTCCTTCCCTAACCATCTGAGGTTCTCTTGGGTGTGTTGTGGATTTCTTTTTTCCTTTTTTGCCTATTAGAATCTGCACATTCCTCTGCTCATTCCTGAACAAGCCTCCTCCTCATTCCGCAGGCTCCTTGCTGTCCCTGCAGCCCATCCCTTGGTTATTTGTGCGCCCCACACCAACCATCTGGGTGACTTCACGTGGACGAGAGCTGAATCCCATGTCTTGGTTCCCCCGAGCTGAGAAGGGAGCCCAGACCAGGGCCCCGAGGGCTCCCCTTGGGCACTGCCGCTAAACCCGCTCCCTTTCAGCGGCCCCAGCTGCCGGAGACCTGCCCAGCACGAGGGCTGCTTCCATACTAGCAAAACAAGAGTGATTCAAACCAGACAGTTTTCCTGCCAGACAGAGAGGCACTAACCCTTCTCCGGAGGAAAACCAGTTTTCAGCTCTGGCTGCCACGATGCACACAGAGAAATCTAGATAGGTATCAGGAAGACAGACATCTAGACAGATAGATCTAGACAGAATTAAGAGCACCCTGATAGCTGAGTTGTGTAAATGTGATCCCCTTCTTTTTCACCTTGGTAACAACCAAGGCAGAAAATTCCACAGGAAGGTGGATGTCAGGGTCACGTTTCTCCTCTGCTCCCTCTTCTCCTGGATACTCCTGCCCTTTCTCTGCACAGGCTGTTTCTACGTCGTAACGTGCAGGATTTCACTTCTAACAGCTGCCTGGCAGCTCCAGTGCCTCATGCTGCCTCTTCTCTGGTGGCTGGAGGGTCCTGGCTCCAGTGCCTCATGCTGCCTCTTCTCTATGTGCTGAGAAAGGATCCTGCACCCAGGATCAAGGGGAGAGTTTTATAAGTGCACCTTTTGCTCTAACACATCTGTATTTAAGAGAGCTGCACCTGAAAAGCTTTCCCAGCGCGCTGTGCCACTGTTCCAGCTCTGGTCTTGGCCATGCAGAAAGGACTGGAAAATGGTGTTTGGAACAAAAAGGTTTTGCAGACCTACCTTAGCAAGCTTCCTTCTCAAGCCATCCCGTCCTACTGATTTATTCTCCTATGTCACTCCCACTCCTGTCAGATTCCAAGGTTTGCCTCAGAATTCCATTAGCCTTACGAGCTGCTGCCTGGGACTTGCTGCAGTGCTAGTGAACACAGGGGCTGTCTCTAGAAGAGGGAGGCTACTTACAGGTAACCAGACTTGTTTCAGGGGTGTTAACAGTGCCTCCATACATGTTTCCTCCCCCTTCCCAGAATTTAGTTATGAGGGGATTCTGCAGCTGAGAAATGAGGTGGCAATGGACAAGCTGTGCCACCCATGTGTGTTTATATGTGTATGAAAGCTACAAACACAGAAGCAGAATGAGAAGAAGGCCAAAGCTTAAGTGCTGCTTCTACAAACACTTCTGTGCCTTTGGTTTGTCACAACAGCACCCACCCACAACAGGAACATCAGTGAATTACGTATCTGTAAGTAAGTACTTCAGTCACTAATAAAATCTGAAGTATTAAATCCATTTTTGTGAATTTTTGAAAATTTTTGTATCCTTCAATCAATTCTCTTTTTAGCATCTGAAGTTCTGTGTAGCCTGTTCATATACAGAGTTACCTGCAAATCACTCAACTCTGTTAGTCACCTTTCCCACCAAGGCATGGGAGACTAAATGTTTTGTCTAATTACAAGTGAAAATAACCTTTCATCTTGGATAACTGTGACAGAGTTAGGAGTAGTAACATGTTAAGGCAGAGATTAAACATCACCAGTGACACAGATGCAAGAAAAGGCCAGCATTTTGAATATGGGATGCAGTGCAATAAAAAAAAAAAAAAAGCCAGTGCAAGCTAGCACTTGCTAGCACCAAGTGAATCACAGGAACCTTTATCAGCTTGTTCATGTTTTCAGCTTGAAGTCAGAGAGATGAATAAAAGACTTAAAATTATCCATTTCCCTTCTGTCAAAGCTCATAGGAATTTATATAATACAACCTACACTCTCAATGAGAATTGAGAATTCAGGACAGCAAGAAATAAAACCCCAAGGAATTAGAAGTTTGAATAACAAATACTCTATTTCCTCTCAGGCATTAGAAACAAGTGTTTCATTTTCTGAAGGGACCAAAGGGAACTTCCTGGCTCTCCTCAGCGCACTCAGCTGTTGAGCAGAGCTGCTCCCTGGCCTCGCAGCTCCCAGGCCTTGGCTGGTGGGTCACAACTTGGCAAGGCCAAATATTCCTGGCATCCGGGGCTCTGGGAGCAACCAGAGGGGAGCAGCCACGTGACTGCTGCCTAGAGCTCTACAAAGGCAGCAGACGGGCGCAGAGGAAGGGACAAGGGCTTTATTTTTAGCAAAAGAGCTATTTCACATGTGCTAAAGGAAAATAAACTTTCTATAGGAAATAATGCAAACATTCAAGAACAGGCTTGAAAAATATAAAATGGAAACACAATGTTTTAATGCTGGAGGGAACCTACAGTCTTGGCTCAGGAGCTCAAGGATGACTCCCAAAAGGAAGACAACTCAAGTACATTTGAAAAATCCTAAAATCCTTCCTTTTTTCACCCTGCCCGCCTCTCCAAAATTACATCAGGAGAGCTGAATCATCAACTCAGAAAAGGCTAAAAATTCCTGGGCCTGCCCATCACAGTCGTGCTGAGAGGACAGCAGAGCAACCACAGAGAGGTGAAGGTTAGACCCAGTATTACAGAGACATATCTTGCTTTTGCCTGGTACTCTATTTATCCTAAAGAAAAAGGAAGGAAGGAAGACAGACAGACAGAAAGACAGACAGACAGAAAGACAGACAGACAGAAAGACAGACAGACAGAAAGACAGACAGACAGAAAGACAGACAGACAGAAAGACAGACAGACAGAAAGACAGACAGACAGACAGAAAGAATTCTTGTTATAAATCTAACAAATCCACCAAGGAAGGCAGAGCCAGCTTTCAGGAGATACAAACTGTGGCAGTGCTGCTGTAAGAGCCTGTTGTAATTTCCTTACTTTTACCTAAAGCCAGAATGACATCTTGGTCACACACATTATCCATCAGAGAAATGAAAACCTTTCAGCTCCGCCCTCCCCAAACATTTTGTTTGGAATCACTTACATATTGATCAGATGTTGAAACTTTTATGCCATATTTGGAGACTCCCATAATAAACTCCTCTTCACCTGGAACAAAAGGTAACTTTCCATCTTGCTTTGGAGGGAAACAAACAAAAGCCTTTAGTGCACAAAGAAGAGGACAAACAATGAAGATACACAGTTGAAAACGTGCTCAAGTGCACCTCATTCCAGGAAATCACCAATACCACTATTTCTGGCCACATCTTACTGCGTGGGGTCTCCCTGCTGCACTTGTCAAAATCTCTTTACCTTCTGTGAAGCACTATGCACTTCCAGAAAGGAAATTACAATCTCTGGGGCCCCTGTTCCATTAAGGTGTTGCAGGCAGCTCATACGAGCAGGAAAATTTGCTCTGTTGTGATGGATGTTCTACGCTGGCAGCACCAATGTACATATTTCAGACTGTAAAAGTGTCTTGTGCTTCAAGACAAACAGATGCTCTGTGCTCCGAAAGGCACAAGAAATCAGCTACCTAACAAGAACTTGCGTATTATTTTTGTACCAAAAGCTAACACAACTTGGCATGACAACCCAAGTTACTATTCAAGTTCCCTGGACACAGGTTCATATGTGGTTTTAAGGGAAAACTTGGTTTTCCTCTACAGGAAAACTCCTTCTGTAACAGTACTAACAGTGCTGAAGAGAGTATCAGAGCTTTCAGCTAGGACAGTCATTCAGTTGTGACCCAGGAACAGCGCCTCGATTCTGAGTCTGCTTCTTCAAAACTGTTCTTGGGTGCATTGCCTCCAGCTGCTCTACAGAGAGCAGTAGGATGCAAGCAAGTATGACAGCTTTCAACATCTTAATTTTATAGAGTTGATTTTTTTCAGTAAGGTACTTTATTCTGGTAAGTCTAGAATTGACAAGAAGAAATATAACTCAGCTTAAGATGTTTTGACATTGCTGGTATTGACGTTTGTAACATGCTTACCTGTGCAACATCTATGTAATTAATCAAGTCCAAAGGCCCTTCCAGATTTTTGCTCTCGTTATCTTTCAGCTTTTCAATGGCACCCACATATTTAACTCTGAATTCTGCACATGTATCAGAATTGCTATTGCTTTGACCTGCAACAAAATAAAACAAAGCAATTCTAAACAACAGGAATTCTATTATTTTGTGTTAATGGAACTAACATGTCAAGTTCCATACAACTTTTGCTGACTTCTCTATATACGTTATTTCTTATATATATATATCCTATATACATTAACTATACAAGAGTTAATATATTAACTCTTGCCTCTAATGAACTTTCACAAGTTGATTCTTCATTATACAGCCAGAACAGTCCTTAGCAAAAGCAGTAACTACACATGAATTCAAAGGCTGATTCTACTTTGCTAGTTCAGTGTGTAACACTGATCAGTGAGTGAAAGTTAAAAAAAAAAAATCAATTGTTATTTCAGTTACCAGATGTAATCGCAAAATTCACTTCATGGAAGGAACAGATCTTCCAAAAATGTCAAGAAACTATGCTGTATAACAAGCTAGCAACATGACTAATTGATTTTTTCTTGCTTAGAGACTTTATCTTGGAAAAAATATACACTTAGGCCATTAATACTACTTTATGGGACATTAAATACATACACAGTCAACAAACTATCTCACAGATTCACTTGCAATTGTTATAAACACATAGTTTAACTTTTTCAATTTTCTGCTCTTTTATAGGAACACGCAATGTTGAGCAATGTTGCTGAAACTACCCAAACCCTGGTCACATACCTGAGCTTTTGGTAGAGTCTGTATCTAGACTAGCAACAGTACTAGACCTGGAAAGGCCCCCAAGACTGGAATCTACAGACTAAAGAAAAATAAATAAATAAAAAACACAACACTCAGTGTAATAGGAAGTTAATAAGAACGAAGAATTATTAACAATTCACTTTTAGTTGCCCTTTCTCAATAGTTTTAAAAAATACACAAGTAAATACTTATGGTTTTGAACTATTTAAAGAGCACTGCAGTAGGGGGAAAGGGGAAAGATGCTTTTTCTGAAGTTCTGAATCACTG